ATGGTGAAACCCCATCTCTACTAAAAATACAAAAATTAGCCGGCCATGGTGGTGGGGTGCCTGTAATCCCAGCTACTTGGGAGGCTGAGGCAGAGAACAGCTTGAACCCAGGAGGTGGAGGTTGCAGTGAGCCAAGATTGCACTACTACACTCCAGCCTGGGCAAGAGAGTGAGACTCCATCTCAAAAAAAAGAAAAGAAAATTCAGGATTCTATACTAATTGCAAAAGGCCACTCATAAAAAAAATACAGTATTATTCATCTTAGACGAGTTATATAGATTTGTCAAACTAATTCAACAGTACATGTAAAATTCCTAAAGCTAAAAAATTTAAAAATTTTTTATAATAATAAATTATTGTACCAAGTAAAAAAAAACCTAATTAATTAAAAGATAGGGAAAGTATTTGAATGACATTCCTGCAAGATACATGAAAAGGGCCAATAAACTCATGAAAAGAAGGTCAGTGGACCAGGAGTCATCAGGCACAAGGATTTATATAATGTAGTTTTCAGTGGTTATTGAGTGCTTTCCTCATATTCATAAAGTAATACATTTTTAACCTATTTCCTATTTAGAAAAAAAAAAAAAAAGTGCAGCTTGCTGCCAGCATTCAATTTTACATAAGCACACTCTTTAAAGCTGAAGCAAATCTGATTGATTTTCAATGTGAAAATAAAATTTCTAAACAGAACTTGTTTCTAATCCTAATGTAATGAAAATGTATATGATGTTACATTAGGATTAGAGACAAGAGTATTCTCGAGGCACATGGAAAATGGGTTGAATATACCCAGCACTTATTGCTTTGTGGAAAAGAAATGGTAAACTATTAAAATACCGCAGCAGTTTCACATGTATGGATACACGATTAATAATGATGTCCACTGGAGAGGGGAAATGAGGGAGTGTTTTGGAATGTGGGGAGGAAACCATAAATTTAAGGATTTATCATCAGCCCTAGCAAGAACTAGGCTGGGAGGATCTCAAGGACTCCTTCCTTGATCATACTTTAGTAAGGCTCCTCGGAGCCCGCTTTCTGACTAGCTTTTGTGTTTGGCCTGCAGAGCCCAGTTATAGCTAAATCCTAATAAGACAGTTTAGAGAGAATCCCCCCAAACTTGATATCTAATCAAGTTGTTTCCCTCACCTATGATAATTTATTAATATTCTCTTCCCCAACTCTTGACACCTTACCAAGTTCCTCTATGGTACCTTGCTCTTTAGATGTAATTGTCTTGTTGATGCATTCAGGTTGAGTTCAATCTCTTTCCCATATTAAATTGTACTATAACATATAGCCAAAAAATAAGGCTTTATTCAACACATATTGCAATTGTGCTCAATAAAACCGTCCTTGAAATTTTTACCAAGTTTTCAGTGTAATCCCTCTTTACAAGGAATACAGACTTAGGCTTGAGACCCTAATTCACATATCTGCAGTGCGTTAGTGATAAGAAGTTCTCTTCTGGTGGGGAGGAAGATGGGTTTCCCGAGAGTACCTCCTACTCAAACATCCAAAACACCAGGTCAGACTTCTCTCCTGATGACCACTTCTTGTTGTCTCCCCATAAACTGGATGAGATTGGGGACCGCGGGTGTACCATCGCCAGAGAGGACTACAGGATAGAGTTCACCTCCCGCAGTAATGGGCCAGGATGCCTCAGAGTGCTGGCTACCAATTCATCCTCCACCCTATGTGAGGAAGATGGACCAGATATTCAATATAGAAGTTTTCTTCCATTCGGTGAATTATCTTGTCAAATCCTTTCTTTTTTTTGTTTTTAAGCATACAACAGCCAGTATTCCCAGGCATTTTCTATACATTTACTAACCAGGCCCAACCCTGCTTAGCTACAGAGAACAGATGTGTTCAGTGTGGCATGACCACACATGCTTCAGTTTCTTTCTTT